TGGAATTATATTGGAATTCTTACATATGTTGTAACATGTAAAATAAATACGTATTATTACATTAACTTTTAATTAATGTAATGTATTACATTACCTTTTAATTAATGTATTTGGTTTTATTCAAATTTAATATGTGTATTATAATTCAGAATATTTTAATATTATAACCAATGATAATATCTGCATTGAAATTAAAATTAAAAATATTTTTGTAGCATATTACTAACTTTCTTTTATAAATACTAGTACAATAAAAAGCAAAATGTAATAAAGTAACTTTTAAGGCTAAATGATGCGAGCAATTTTAAATAATTGCTTCTCTGCATTTTACAACATCGAAAATCAATATTATTGCAGCAAAATTAATTATATCGAAGATGAAAATCGTGTTTGTGATTTTGACGTGAAATAAAATTGATAGAGCACTTTAACGATTTTCGGACAAGTCCGTTGGGGAACTCTATTCCCAAAGGAATATTATATTTACATGCTGCTCTTGTAAAGCTTTCCATACTTCGATTGCACGAGATCCGTTATATTTCAATATTCAATGTGCCAAATACTTTTGTTGAATATTCTGAAACGATTTCGACGAAGATTGCTGAACGCAGTGCGAATATATACGATAAAATGAATTTACGACGCGACATATATAAGCGGATTTTACGTATGAGCATTAATTACAGCTAATTACCACACAGGTTGCAGTGATAACATCGACAGCATACAAATGCAATTATCGGCAAGAGTGATTTACAAAAGTAATAAATTGTAAAAAAATCGCTGTTTGGGAAATATATTTCTTTATAATTTCAAAAATCATTATATTTTTTATATTAAACATATATATATATATATATATATATATATATATATATATATATATATATATATATATGTATGTATGTATGTCTTGCTTTTATCATTACACTAGAAGAAACTGGTTGTTTATTATTTCAAACGATAATTATAATATAACAAAAATACAAAATTATTGAAAGCATTAAACGTTCGATGAGATTATAAGTACGTGAAAAACAAGATTCTTTTTCTGAATTTGGTAGAATAATCCGCAATTAATCCTGACGATTAATGAACACAGTTGGCAGAGATTCGTTAATCTTCTTCGTTGCAAAGCTCTGCCCTAGTTTCGTACTAGAACTTTATTGATCGAATACAATATTTTAGTTTTACAATTACAATATTTTACAGTATACTTGCTTGTGAATTTTAATTTAAAGGCATACACGTGTACCTAAAGTGTCTTTGATAGTTTTAATCGAAAATTGTAAAAATCAACAAAAAACTGCTGCCAGAGAATAGAGTTACCGTTCATCGGAATTCTGTCCACGTCCGTTGCAGCGACTCCGTTCTAATTAATTACTATAATTTCTGCACGTCTCTCGTGCACGATTTGTAGTTCGCATGTGGTGATTGTCGTTTGACCAGTTGGTGTATCCACTTCTGGTCAAAAACGTTATTAGAATATCTCGTTCATTCTGTATATATATTATTAGATTCTAGTTTACTAAATCAGTTGCAATAAATTATAATTGCATATTTATCTATTAAACCTGTATAACACGGGCCTGCGAAATTTTAGATTTGATTAGTTACAAAAAAGCAGAGTAGGTGAATCTGATAAATTTTTTTACGCGGAAAATATATCTTAATAAAAAAAATCGTGCAGCTACAATCGAAAATGAATTTGAAAGGTGAAGACTAGTGCTATACGATGTCATTGACAGAAATATTTCAAAAAATTAGGTTTTTCCAAAATAAATTTAATTTGCCGAAATTGCCATTTTTGGATTATTTATTAACTTAATTATTATTAATTATTAACTTATTAAATTACTCGAAAACCTGACATGCTGAAAAAATTCTGCGATCAGATTCGTTATCAGCATCAAATAATCTATCAGATTCACCTATTCTGCTTTTTGTAACTGATCCTTGCAGGCCCATGCAATTAATGTTCTACTGTCAATGTCAAAATTAGAATTTATGTATTTAATTTTAAAATGTTTCTAATGCGATATTTCATATAATTTACGATGTTTGATCGTGTGTGTATATGTCATTTCTCTTCATTTTAATTTTACTTTTTATTTCAACATTACGCTTGAAGAATATCCGTAATATAAGTGATACGATTCGCTGTTTACAGGAATCTTTTTTAAGTTGTCGCATCTTGTTTGTTATTAAGAGATGTAAGTTGTCACTGGTTTGAGATTAATTGTATAGAACTAGTCGTTATAGCTTTATACTATAGAACAGAGAGACCATAATCACCGCGGATAATGAACGATGGTTAATCAAGGTGATTACAAGCTTAAAGACTTTACGATTAAGATACGATAGTGAGACACACGCCTCGAACACGGATATGGCAGATGCGGATTCGATAAACGTCACGATCCCTACTATAGCAATTTCACTATCGATATATCATATACTTACCTGAGGAGATAGGTATAAGTGGGGAATATGGCCATATCTGATCGCTTGGTTCATTCGCAGTATCTCCACAGTATCGTTTTATTCGCCGCGCGTTTAAATAAACATACTTCAAATTGTCATATATGCGCTGATAATTAGAAAAGATCCAAGACTCCGGTTTTGTGGAATTGGAAAACCTTGTTGAAATTTATACAAGTAAGTTTTAAAATAAGTTTAAATATCATGGAATAAACTTTACGAGAGGAAACGGCATGTGGGTTGTCATTCTAATTAAATACTTTTTTAAGTCAGATTAACCAAAAAAGTTCATATGGTTTTTATTAAAAGGAAAATATGTGCATATTATCATGAAAAAATAATTAATACTAAAAGTTTTATCATTAGCACTAAAGTGTGAACATTTGACAAATTTTCTACAAATTAGACTCGACCTTCAATCCATATTTATTAAGGAAAATCGACCAGCAAACTTCCTTGATTACGCGATAAACTCAAACTCAAAAATTAGTTATTAAAGGTCAGACACGAGTTTTGTGTCTTTCATTATCTTAAAAAATTTCGCATGACTCTTTTAAAATAGATTAAATGATAAAGTTAATTAAATAAATTTATAACAAAATTACTTTAAATCATATTAATATAATTAATGTTACGTTGAATGTACGTATTTGTAATAATATAAGAATATTTTTTTATTGTAAGAATCTATTATGTATAATTTGAGATGTGTGAATTTTAGAAATCTTTCACATGAATTATCAGTATCACATAAAAAGATAAATTATACACATACATTTAGCATAAATTCTTTATGAATATTTATAGCGAAAAGAGGAATCCGAATTATTTAATACATATAGATGTATGTAAAAAGTTTTTTTTTCTAATTAATTAATAATTTGATTACGATATGACTCAAGTAATTAGCGTGCTTGGAAAGTATGTATAGAAAATGTAAATTGAATATAAATTGCGCGCGTGTGTATATTATAATTTCTTGCATGATTTTTGACAGAAGACGCAATGCACATTAAATTACAATAATAACAATAGCTATCTAACTGTCTAATATTTCTCTTTTATGTCATGCGTAGAATATTTCATCATTATTGTGCTGTTGCTCGTAAGTTTCATCCGATAGAGTTGTATAGTTGTACGCGACGGTGACAGTAGAGTGAAAATGACAACTGATGTGCCAGAAACTAATTGAATTGCATGATATGAGTATAAACGCATATGCAAGGTTGTCCTGATTTTCGTAGACTAATACTCTTTGATATGGCATTTATTATATAATTTATTATATAATTAATGTACATATAATATTATTTATTGTATAGTTGCCATTTAAATCTTATAATATTTGTAATCAATATTATGAATATTATTTTCACTGTTTCAAATGATGATGGCAAGTGGATTTTAAGCATCGTTTTAATTTTATATATAATTTTACATACAATTAGCATCTATTAAATGCAACTTGTTACGTCACGAACGAACATCTAAATAAGAATTTCCATGGTTTTTTATCTATTCACAATTTATGTTAATGATATGAATTTTTATTGAGGATATATCAATTTCCTTATTCTCGTTCATTAATATGTTTCTTGTTTTCGTAACGGTTGAGTGCGAAGAACCGTGGCATTGGAATTTTAAAACTAAGAGATTCACTGAATATACATTTGATTAATTTTTAACATCGACAGAGTATTCTGCAAATTATTTATCATTTGATGCAATTGATAAAATAAACAAATGGAATTAATTTTAAAATATAAAATAAAGATTGTGTACCTCGTTTCTTTCATAGCTAATTTGATTATATGCATTCATATATACAGTCATATATTAAGTACGTCCTCACTCACCTTGTTGTATCATTTTCAATGTCAATTGAATACAGAAAAGAAATTCGAATGAATGAGCTAAGTGCATCCAACCAAGTTCGCTATCAAAAATTCTGAGTGAGAAACTGGTCTGACTGGTATCCTCGCTTATAATTAAATTCTTATATTCGTATACTGAGGAATTGTATTCGACAAATATTCGACAAATATTCATACAAACGGCAGTCTTTCGTTTTTACGTTACAGATTTTCATCAAAGTCCATTTGCGCAGTGTTACTCGACGTTTTGTCGATAAACTTGTTTTGCTCTACGTTAACGTGTGCATCTATTTGTGTGTGACAGGATTTCAGTTTGATCGGCGCGTTACATATTCCGAACGACGTGCGCGATCGGAATGGAAATTGTATCAGGTGCGATTAAGGTGCGTGAAAGGAGCAATATATCCAATCCGAAGGACAGATTGCCTATCGATGTTCTGACGACTGTGTAGCTCACCAAACGGAAAATGGTTATGCAATTCTGTTCGGGGAATTTTGTTAATACATTTCTATATAAAATCATATCAAAACCGGTATTACAATGTTAGTAGCAATAAAGCACGAATTAAAAGCAACATTCATATGCATTTAAAAAAGTGCATCCGGCCGAGTTCACTATTAAAAATTCTGAGCGAGGGGGGGGGGATGGGGGAACTGGCCTAAATATTCTTACTTAAAATTAAGTTCTTATATTCGTATGCTAAGAAATGAGCCGCGTTCAGCAGAACAATTGCTAAATATCGTTTTGTCATTGATTTGTTGAGTCTAAAAGTAAAAGTCAATCACATTCGATTGCTACTAAGAGTTTGTTCTGCTGAACATGTCCACTGCAATCAACAAATATTCGTACAAAAACAGCAGTTTTTCATTTTTCTATGTTGCAGACATAAAATGATATTAGTTCATCATATATTACGACATAATGTTACACATGCCGTTTTCACATTCGCTCACTACCTTGAAATCGTTATTGGCTTTACGCAAATTGCGTGACTGATTATTCTAGGAATAAATGTGAATATTCAGTTTCAGTTTTAATTTTCCAGTTCGTAATCATTTACCGATATCTTTTGAATGGAAATTGCGATTGAGATAACGAGATCTAATAATTCAATCGAAATGTATATTTGCAGATAAAAATGTATATTGAGATATGAAATCTCAATCGCAAATTATAGAAAATGAAACATGTATATCAGGATTTTTCTATATAATAGGCAAATAACATTAAAAGCACAGTTATTATAAATTCTCCTCTTCATTTTTATGTCTTTTGAAAAATAGTCGATAATAATTTACAGTACTTTATTGATTGACAAAATTATATTGAAATATCGTACATATTTTTAGAAAGACATTAACGGCGCTATAGATACAGCTAAATAACTGGACATTGATTAAATCATGACGGTTGATAAAACCGAGCCAAGAGGATTTGTAAAAGTATCGACCCCGAATTTTGAGCCATCAGAACGATGGCGAATTATAAGAAATATTTTAGCGATCAGTTGTGCTTTTATGATGAATTTTATTGCCTTTATGGGAGCCTCGAATTTACAAAGCTCTGTCAATGCGGATCAATCACTTGGTACATTTACTTTATCGGCGATTTACGGCAGTCTGCTCTTCAGCAATATTTTTCTACCCGCTCTCGTCATAAGGTAAGATTTAGATAATCTAATTTATATACTTCTCTTACATCTCTTTGTATTGCTTAATGTGATTTCTTATAATAAATCGAAAACCGGTATAACCTGATGCGATAGCAATTTGATCATATTTTTGATGACTATCGTGATAAATATTCCTCGCCTCGGGTTGGAGAAGAATTGTCATCAAATTTGATTGCTCTTACTCGTTATCGTGATGGAATAAATCGAGAATTTTGGGAAGTATATATCGGAAAAGAGCCTTGGATCATCATAAACGATGAGAGCACTCAATATATATAAGTGGAACATATAGGGGATTAGTTCTACAGAGTCCCACGCTACTAAACTTTATTACGCGCGTTGTCATTTTCACCTTGACCCAGAATTATGTCGCATGAAACACCATTATTCATTATAAATTGTGTGGGTTCCATTAGTCGAGAGTAAGATAAACGTATCTGCGTGAAAATTGGGTACATCTTTCTCATCAACGTAACTTTAATTTGTTCTTATATTTTTGATTATCTTAAGTGCAGACTTAAAGTATATAGTTCTTTCACTGAACGGGATCGTAAAATTGCTTAAGCTCATATTTAAGAAGTGATTTCGAATACGATCATAAATACAAATCTTAGAAACACTTTGACGAAATTTTATTTAAAGAACAGTTTAATTAATTAATCTTAATAAATAAATAAATAAATAAATTTATATAAATCTTTATTACAGTTGGTTAGGATGCAAGTGGACAATGTCTGTTTCCATATTGGCTTATATGCCTTTCATAGCTGCTCAGTTTTACCCAAAATTTTATACAATGATTCCCGCCGGATTATCCGTAGGATTAGGCGGAGGACCGCTTTGGTGCGCAAAATGTACTTATTTAACTGTAGTGGCAGAAGCCTACTCAACTGTCTCGGATATAGCCGCAAATGTTCTTGTCACAAGATTCTTCGGTCTCTTCTTCATGTTCTATCAAATGGCGCAGGTGTGGGGAAATCTTATATCTTCAGCAGGTGGGTTATATTGCGAATATGTAGCTTACGGATATATGCGGATGGTCAACTTTATCTCGGGATTATACGTGCCGAGAAAAATATTTGCATATAAATTATTTTGTCTTCGACTCAGGTGATACTTTGCTTACAAATGTCAATTTTAATGATGTGGAATAGTGTTGTAAGAATAAATTGATCGTCGTCGCGATGCTTCATGGTATATATATATAAAACAGAATGCTTTGTTGTTATAAACACGAACGAATTGTATAAGAAATATTTATAAGCCAATATAAATTAATATTCAGAGACTCGCAAATATCTTGTAATTCAATTTGATTATTTTTTTGTTTTTGCATATAATATGGTATATATAATTATATTTATAAAATAAAAATATAATAAAAAAATTTATTAATAATAAAAAAAAAAAAATAAAAAATAAAATAATTAAATTATAATTACTTGAGTATTGTTAAATTTAAAACGCAATAATAAACAATCGTTAGTCAAAATCACGAATCAAAACGAAGTAAGACAAAGCGAATAATCTATGCGATTCTCGCGGAAGCGCATATGAATGCATCGCTGTTGAGCTATAAAAATGCGAGCGTCGATGAAAACGAAATTAAGTTACTGTTGACGTGATCAGAAGAATATAAACTAACGAATCAAAGTTATATGTTTACGTCATAATCAAAAAATTGTTTGGATATTCTGACAATTATATTTCGCTCTATTGAATATGCAAATATGCTTATTTGATTATCGACATAATAATCGATAACATGTTTATGTTTGTACTGTGTTATTGTATTTAAGTTTTTAACGCATTCATAAATTCTGCGGTAAATGTACCTTTTTCACACAAAAATAATTTTATTATTAATAATCAAATGTTTTCTTCATGTTTTTTACGTCTTTTTTACGAATACAGTTCTTTCTTATGGAATTGAAACGGTTACCAGAAATGTCACTCTGAACAATAGTATTGTGGCAGAAAAATGTGGTGCAAATTTCTGTGGAGTGTCTGACATAGATCAAAATCCGAATCTGCAGCGACCTTCTGTAGAACGAATATACTTAATTGCTGGAATTTACTTAGGTTGTATGATATTAGCTTGTCTAATAATTGCATTCGGCGTTGATTCCTTATCCAGGTAATTCTGCATTTATATTTCGCTCATCCATATCACACACAAACGTATCAAAATATACTTACATAATAAGAATTACAGAATTATATTGCATAAGAATTTCTTAACGGTATAATTCTTATTTTATAGGTACGATAGAAACAGAACCAGCACGGTGAAAGGAACGTCTGGATTCAAACTTCTGGCCGTGACATTAAAATTATTGAAAGAAAAAAACCAACTTTTAATATTGCCGATAATATTGTTTATCGGAGCTGAGCAAGCATTCTTATTTGCTGATTACAATGCAGTTAGTAAATTACATTTACAGGAGGAAAAAAACATTTAATATAAAATCTAAATGTTATAAAAATAAGAAAAAGATTCTTCTTTTCTAAGAAATCAATAACAATTTATATTTATTGCAGTCATTCGTTTCTTGCGCTAAGGGAATTAGCAATGTCGGTTACGTGATGATATGTTTTGGTGTCACAAATGCTATAGCCGCGCTCGCCACAGGATCTATCGTAAAGTTGACAGGAAGAAAGCCCGTAATGATTTTTGCTTTTTGTTTGCACTTGAGTCTTTTCTTCTTCATGTTAAGATGGAAACCGACACCAGAACAGGGCATCATCTTCTTTCTGGTGTCAGGTTTATGGGGTGTGTGTGATTCGATCTGGCTGGTACAAGTTAATGGTGAGCGAAAATCAATAAAATTTCTTGTTAACATTGCAGAATAGTTTAATACATCTAAAATATTGTACCATATATTGTTAATCATTTCAAAATTATTGTGCAATGATAATTAAATCGAACTTCCTGATTTAGTTGCTGCGTGTAAGATTGTACCGACAGACATGAATATTTCGTATTCTACCGACGATACTATATCAACGAATAGTACAAAATCTAACTTACACAGATTTTTCTAAAAAATATTCTATTAGTGACTATATTCGAAATAATAGAATCTAATTAGTCTCAATTATTAGTTTAGAAAAACATTACTAATTGTTTGCAAATTATTTTAGCACTGAGCGGTATATTATTTCCTGGTCAAGAAGAGGCAGCTTTCTCCAATTTCCGCTTGTGGGAATCCACTGGTTCGGTGATAACATACATATACAGTCCGTATTTATGTACCTTTACGAAATTATACCTCTTAATCGGAATATTGTGCGTTGGAATGATCGGTTATGGCATTATCGAGTGGTCAGGTAAAATAAATAGAGTTATTTCTAACGACAAGCCTGATTTTGAATTGGTTAATAGAACTGACTAATAAATTTGGATAATAAATTTTACTAACAAAAAGATTAAGCGACAAAAAGCAGTGTTATCATAGAGTAGGTATTTTTTTCTCAGTCAATAACAAAGGAAATTTTTATCTTTTGATGTTATTTAATACTAAAGTACTAAAATAAGGGAATTATAAAGATATATCTTTAAGGAAAAATTAGATATTGAAAAAGACGATTGAAATACTTTTGATTTTATCACTTGCTTAATAATGATTCTTTGCTATTAATAATATATATATATATAAGAAATAACTTGTAGAATCTACTATGTACCTGAAATTATATTAGAGTAAGAAAAAATGTATTTTTATGAACTAAAACATAATATTAAGAAGAGAAATTTCTATAAGAAATTCTCATACAATTATAGCTTAAAAATGATTTTTTTCATTTTTTATAGCTAAATATGTTATATGCACAATATTACAAAAATCGTATAAATAATATTTTTATTTGAAATTATTTATGTAAAAATCAAACGAAATTTTAATCGCGAAAAGCAATAGGTGCGATTTTTTATTATTTGTACCACAATATATGTTTTTATTTTATATTTTTGTGGACACCTACTAAATTTTACACAGGTATTCGCTTAACGGCTAAGATTCTTGTCCTTCATTTAAATACGTAATTTAATGTTACATCGTGTGCCTAGGTGCTAACATTCAAGCTAGAGCTACGGCTGCTTAGTTTAATTGTATACTTATGTGCTTAATTGCCGACTGTGTGCTTATTTCGTTGCCAAAATCAATTGATTCCCGCCTTCAGCGAAAGCGGCTTACCGAATTGCGTGATTTTCTTTCCATAATAAGGTCGATCGATGTTCTCCGACAGTGGCAATGTCGAATCAATTGATCGGCGAGTCGTATTTTTAGCATCGTTAAATTGCTGATTGTATCGTGATTATTAGCTTAACTTTGCGTCCATCGTATTTACAATTCAAGTGTTCTGCAGTTCAGTTATATACTTTATAAAACGTAGTAGGAACTTTGGTTTCGCTGGGCAATGTTTCAGGAGCAGTTTCCTCTTATTGATTTGTGATTTTTTTTTACTTTATGACGCGACATGGTTTTAGTTTTTTAGGGATGTTTATTTTTTCTTTATTATTCGGTTATGTGACGCAGGGTTATCCGTTCTTATTTTTTTTCTATTTTATAAAAATCACCAGATAAAGCGAGCAAAAATTCAGCTGGAAACTGCTATAAAACATTTGCCCGTGGATCTATCTTCCTTAGAAATATGACATTCACGAATACAATTCACATGTTTTTTGTAATACTCATGTTTATATTTTCATAAGGATCTATTCGAATATTTCAATTTCACGAAGAAAATACACATGATTCTTAAACTGTTTTCGCGTTTTTATTTTTATCACTATCGCGCGTCTTTTGACGCTCTGCTCTTTTTCTCATTTCTTTTTTTCTTTTCTCTTTCTCCTCCTTTCATTCTTTCTTTCTCTCTTTCTCGTATAACAAAATTTAATAACCGGAATATTTCTGTACAAACATTTTTTTATCAAAAAGGATAACATACACATCCCCACTAATAAAAATTTTGAATTTTGAGTTTTACTTCGTATATCTTTCCGACCCTCACTCGTGTCTTTCTCTCTCATCCTCTCTTTTATTCGTATAATACAATTATTTTAGGAACAGATCACTTTGCTCATCTCAGGCTCTTAAAAGTAAAACCTTAAAATATGTTTTATTTTTAGAAATTTATTATTTTTTAACCATGTAAATTTTCTTTGCATGAATTCAGCTATTTATAATAGCTATGATATAATAAAAGTTAATTATATAATATTACAATATGTGTATCGTAATATGTACAGGCTACCCCTTGCGCCCCTAGCTACGCATCATGTTAAAGATTTCACGATATTATCGTAGCGAATAGCCCATTATATAAAGAAGATGAAGTACATTTTATGCACAATCTTACCCATTAAACGTACTTGTCTGCTAAATATTAAGAAAACCGTACTTTATGGGCTTTATTTAAATATCCTTTTACGCGGAAATACGACTGCGGGTTGTCGATCGCTTGTTGCTAAATGACTGCGTCACGACATAATGCGTTCGTATGACGCATGCAAATCAATCGTCTAATAGTTATGATGTGTGGGCGATTTTACATGGCCATTTATATATTTATTTATTGTTATAATTTTTCTCTTTGTTAAAAGGGACACAGTAATAATGCATAAATAATTCTTCGATTTCAAAAAAATCACGCATCTGTAGTATTTGTCGCAATACGAATCTACATTCGCGAAAGAATATACGAATAGAATATTATATTTGACTGCCATCAGAGCTTTTCTTTCTTTCGCGTGATTATAAATACGATTTATAAAATCAAGATAGAAATATGGAACAATACACGGAAGCGTTTTTCGTAATCGAAGAATTATGTTCGTCGATTATCCCGCAGATCGGAATCGAGCTCTAGTAAAATCCAAGTTTCATCCGAGCTTTCATCGTTATTCAGCGAATAAGCATATATGTATAGGAACGAAGGATGCGTGCTCGTTTAACACGTATACGTCTTATATGGCAGATTATTACGGACTAGTTTTGCAGAAACTCGAATCTCGTCTGTCCCTAACCGTCTCTTTCCTACAGGACTAACAAATACAACTTCAGGAGCGGCGTGTGGTATATAATCGTTTATAGCATACTTTCAAAGACGTTATTGCGTTATTTAGTCACTAAAGGAATTTCATTGATTTTTCTAGATACACGTGTAATTTACAAATCTCGCGCGCACTAAAAACTCTTCACCGATCTGTTACCGAAATTATAACAGAAATATTATTATTGCTCGTTTTAATTGTGTATGTATGTAAGGGATTTGATATTATATAATCAATAGAGAGAGGCGATGAGATTTTGTATTTATTATTTAAGCGATATTTTTATTTACGCAACTCAACGAGCGACAACGATATTTCAAGATCGGATGTAATTAATTTTCTTGAAGATTCGGTTCTCGAATTCAGTTACAGTTCTTATTGCGCGCAAAAGATTACCACCCATCGAGTGTTTCGATTTTGAGTGCATTCTCGATTGTTATGCCATTTGATTATGTATTGATTGCACGTAGCTGTTAAAATGTTCGCCGCTTTCTCGTAAATAACCGTTTTGAAAAGGTATAGTTATATTTTTATTCATTATATATCTGCGCGACGACTTACATACCTTTCCGCCCGATTTTGATGGATTAGTTTCGAGAAACATACATGTCCCGATGTGTCACATTCAAGCAATTAATTAATTAAGACGTATGGAAGCGACTTTTCTATCGTTGCTCGATAAACTTTTCACGTAATTTTGATCGTCGAGGAATTCTTTGTTACTCGATTCGTTGATGCTTACCAATTGTCAATAACTTGTTTGTTCGAAACTGGATCAGTTAGTCAAAGTGTGTTCTCTGGATATATATCTATGAAAATTGGAAGCGCGCGACGGATTGGTACCAAATGAGAGACAACGATTTTAGATTATCAGTTTTCGATATTCGACTCATGTATACATCACATATTCGTAGATTAAAGCTATTTACATATAGATGTCGTATACACCTGCGATCACAATATTCGAAGGATCTCGCCTCGATCTAGAACGATCTTTCCGTGTCGGATCGAATTTGACAACTATGATCTTTCTTCGGTAAATGCTTTTTCTCTTCAGTTCCGTAATGTGCCACGGAAAGTCGTTCTCTCACGTGCGATTCAATTTATTTATATTACTAGAAGAAACGCGATATTTGAAAAATTTCACGGAACGTGTTTCTCATCGCTCGCTTCAGCTTGAAGCTTTTCTCATATGTTGCTCGGTTGATCGGTAGATGTAGTCCTTCCCTATACAACGCCCTTCGACATCATCCTCACCGTGTTCTTCAAAGCTTGCCTTTTATTACAGAACCAGATTCTTATCACCTCCCTATCGTATCCTAGTCGGTGCGCTAAAGTCGTGATTTCGTTACCTGTAAGAAAGAAGAATTGAAATTTTTAATGTGTTAAAGACAAAGATTTGAAAAAAAATAAATTAATACCGAGAGATTTAATAATATAATATAAGTTAGTAATATAAAAGCCAATCATATGTTAATAGGCGAAAACGAAAAACATTTAAAGAAACAAATTAGTCGTTTCATTAATTAATTTAATAGGGATAAATAAAAGACGCGAGCAACTAACCGGTGGGATGAGTGTTTCTGTCAAAATGTGCGTTCAGCAGTTCCAAAGCTTGAGGCGTAAAGGATGTCCGTCGTTTTCGCTTCTTGCTTGGTTCGACCCCGATGAAGTCCGTCAGATGATTAACGCCGCTCTTGTACCTGGAATCAGATGCACTACTCTTGCTCAAATTCGGAAGATTGCATCATCGATGCAATATGTTAACATTATCATGCCCGTTATGATTAATTTTGTACGTTTTTGAGTGCTTGCAATTATAGCCGCGAAATAGGATCCTGTTTAAAGATCTGAGTTAATCACCACGTTTTTGCAATAATTAATTACAACCACGAGTCTACAGATATTGAGTTTAGCATTTTTCTTGCAATTTATTGAAGTGTTATTGTCAGAGATAAATCAAATATGAAAAAAATAATTCTATTTATCGTTTTGCAAGCTCGTAATTACGTTAATGCAATATAGAATGCTGATTAAAAAAGAAAATCGCAGATATTTCGGACGTTCGGTCGCAAATATCCCATTTAGTATTGAATTTTTCCCCGGATATACAGCTCGGTTGATTCACGAGCCGAACTTATTCCATGTGTATCGCGAAACAGACCTTGCGACGGCAACGTCGGCGTCGATGTCGACACGAATAAAATTAGCAATCGAATAGTCTCGTGACGCTTTTAAATTTCAATTTCTATTTTATTCATTATCCAATGAGCATATTGAATCTCGAATAGTTTCTGCGTTAAAATCGACACATTCGTTATTTCTCAATTATTTTCTGATGGCTAATTAAAATGTTTAATTAAACTAATGTACGTTATCTTTTAATGATTTTATAATAATTATTGAATTTATCATTATGTCTCCCGTTGCAGAATTCGTCGATCATAGCTATCCTTCTCGTGATATTATTATAACAAATAAGTTGAAAGAAATTTATAAATTTCCGATCTCGAGAGTCTTGAATCGAGAATATGCAAACTTTTTTGGCATCGTGCGACTAGTCGACGTAATTTCATTCGACGAATAGTATTATCGGGTGGTACAACGCGACATGGAAAAAGCTCGTGGTCGCGACAGTAAACAGGAGAACTTCCGTTGGGACTCCCGGGTGAGCGATGAGAAGCGGTTCGGGATAGAGGCTGCGGGAACAGAGAGAAAGAGAAAGAGAGAGAGAGAGAAGGAGAGAGCTCGACGTGGTGATACGGTTATAGGTACGGTTGCAATGCCCCAGCTCAAAATTTATGTTTTTAATTTAACTCCGAATGACCAACTGTCGAGTCGAAAAAAAAGTACACGGGGAGACATTAGCATCGCGAGGTAATATTTCGTCGAATTCGCGAAAACAATATGCTAATGGAGAAGTCGGTGTGAGAGCGCGAAGAACCGACGGACCGATTCGATGGGGTTGGGATGCCATATCGTTGGTATGCGTTGTATATATGCGTATATAGCGACGAGTGCAATGGAGAGAAGCACCGGATGCAAGGAGAGGAGGAAGAGGTGGGCGAAGAAAGAGATGAAGTAAATGCGAGTTAATACATAAAAGACGCAAAGAGAGAAAGAGAGAAAGAGGGATGAGGGAAGAAAGAGAAACTCGAAACTGCGTATAACTCGTGCGTAGGTGTACAAAGTATTGTATACATATACAGGTATAAGAGAGGGATATACGTAGAGAGGTTTAGACAGACGATGGAAAGGAAGAAAGACGAAAACAGAAGGAAGATGGAAGCTGCGAGTGGAAGGAACGACAGAGAGAAAGGGACGTGGAAAGTGGAGAGAGAGAGAGAGAAGGGAGGAAGGGAACGTCGCGCTGCCATGGGTAAGAGCGAGGTGACGGCGATGGTAAGGGGAGGGAGAGACGCAGGGGGAGAGGTACATCAGAAACCTGATTTTAATTAGTCCACAGTTTAATTACTCGGCAGATAAATCGTGCACGTGCACCGCATAAACTAGCCGCTTTCATTTTTCCCGGACGCGGCCGGCACACGGTCGACGCTTAGTTCTACGCCGCGCGAATGCAGGATGGGTCATTGTTGTTACCGGTTTTCCCCGTGAAAAGAGAAACGTACACCCGTCACCACTTCCGTCATCGAATGATTCGATTATATGTGCCGCGCTGCGCGGATCTTTCTCACGCGGATCGAAACGGAATGATTACCGTTTTAATCACCAAGAACGATCGCTGATCACTTTTGCGCAAATAAATACGATTTTTTGATACAGCGATGCTTTTTCTCTTACTTATACTTGTAGTTGCAAATGTAGAAATTATGCGAACATCTCTCCCGATCCGCTTTTATATTAATATTTCTTATAGCGCTAAATGTCACACCCAATTCTAAATTATATTTTATAATCTCGTATGAATATGCATAATGTTTAGCATTAAGAATTATGCAGATATTTAAATGAGGAATTGAATAAGGAATCACTTAGAATATCCAGCCTCTTTTGAGTAATACGAAAATTGTATATAATTAAGTGATAATGAAAATAGAGAAATCAGGGAAAGAACATAATAACAATATTAATATAACATCTAACTTGTGTGTGCGCGTATGTGTGGATGATAAGATCTTAATCCAATTTAATTTCAAAAAAGTTACATGCGAAGAGTGGAGAGTGCATTAGCACTCTGATTGCGCGATGTCAAAAAATATCGTGATGCTTTTTAATCGTATCGCGATTCATATAACAGCTACATGGATTCCTGATTAGCTCCCGGCGTAAAGTTCATTAGACTTTATATATCGACTCGTAAAATTTACACCTCATGGAAATACCGAGCCCGAGATTCTTAAGTAGGATCGGTGAATCTTTCGCGACACAGCTAAAGCCATCGTAGCCGCGTTTGCCGCGTAGCTGCCTGTAGCAAATAGCGATCGCGCAGTAACGGTTTCTTCCATTCTAATTAACATTCCGCGTATTTATTAGACGCAGATCCGCAATTAATCAGGTGAATTCAATTAGCGAATTACCAATTAGCACGTACACGTTCGCACGCTCTCGCGCAGATGTGAAGTCGAGGTCGCATTGGACGATTGCGAAATAATCATGTATCACATGCAACGTTAGAACTTGACTCGTAATCGAGAGAATTCCGCGCGACTAGAGAGCTTCAGTTGTTGTTTAAATTAATTACGAGAGCGAGAGATTATATGGTAGATCAAAAAGAACGTTGCGTTTATGTGTTGAAGGTCTAATTTGAGAAAGAAACATCTTCTCACGGATTGCTCGCGATTATTCTTAAAATATCGTAGGAATACTACTCACCTCTCTTCTGCCTCCTTCATCCACCTCTCGAGGACCGGCTTAATTTTCTGCGCGCTTTTCGGCGTAATGTCCAGCTTTTCGAATCTGAAGCCAAGAATAAGGCTTGATCCATCTTCTTGGATTCCATTTCTCGGGTAATTGATAAAAATGATGGAAGGAAATGGATGTGCGTGTCGAGAGAAGGCGACACAAAGACGTAAAAAGATGAAATGTCCAACTTCAAACATAATATAACATGTACGCAATGTAATAAAATGTTCATTTGTGGAAATTCAAATTGTTTGAAATATTTTCTCTGAGTATTTCTCGCTTTTTATTTACGTCTTTGTCCCACTAAAGGAGCACTAAGAGACATGCATTGATTCAATAACAGGACATTGACAATGCGTGCATGCTTTAAGGTTTGGTGATGCCGTGTATGATGTTGCCAACGCGCTACGCAAACGCTTTTCTCGCGCGGGCAAAAGTTCGAGTCTCTTGGATTAAATCGTAAAGCAATCGAGAGCTTTTAGACTCGACGAACGTTAAAAATCGCGAGAGTCCTTCGACTTTATTCTATTCTTTTATTCTTAGCGCGTTGGCGACATCATGCCCAAGTTTGCCAATGCCCTGGCTCGAAGAAAGTTAATTTTAGAAGTGCTCCTTTCGCATCTCTTTTCCGAACGAAATTAGAAATTAGTGAGAGTGTTTGTGCAGCTATACCCAAATACTGCCAATTCTAAAGCGGGAGAGGACCGCGAATCGGACGAACGCAAGTGACGAAGAGGAAGAGAGAAGAGAGAACGATTATCGTCTATCTTGTTCTTACGCGGGATGCATCGTTGATTTTAACGATTGATTAATCAAATTATACTCTCTCCCTCTCTCTCTTTTTAAAGCTCCTTCTCACGACCGTCGGAAGGTTCTCAATTTTCCATCGTTGGGTATAACTGCGATTTCTTAAAGGATTTTCGAGTTTTAGATTTTTAGGTAAATTAAGTAACGCATGAGGGGTGAACGTACGTAGCTTGCTGCTGAGAGGCAATCTGCGAGGCAGCGTACATCTGGGTAGCCAGGGCACTGGGGAACAATCACCAATGCTTATGTTAGTTGATACGATAAGAATTTTTTAAGAGGTATAAACTTTTTCTCTTTGTTTGTTACCGGCATCACCACGGTGGTTCCCAATCGTATTTCGAAGATGCGCTCGATCGACGAAGAAGGTAAATAGCATAACGGTTTAGAAAGCCCATGTGCTCATAAACATTTATTAAATATTATACATTCACAATGAACGTAATAATCTTGTAAAATTTCTACAAATGTCTTTAAATAAATATAATTTATTGATAATTATTGATAATTTCAGAAATTAGATTTACATTTAAACTGCAGCATAAATCAGGAACCATCGTGGTGTATTATGGTATAAATAAGTTTATCTTTCATAGCACCTCAAAATTGATAATGTGCCTGCAAAAGCTGCATCGAAAATTTTCCAGTCTTTGAACGAATTTCAAATAAGTTTCGATAAATCAGACGCGAATGGTAATTCTGTTAAACATTATCACACGAGAATGAAAAGAAAAATGTAAAATCTGCTTCGCGATTTTCTTAGCTTTACATTCGGGCATTTATTCCTAATAGAAGATACTATTATAAAATCAACGAACGGATATATGTATATATATATAACCGTGAACTATCTCTCTTTTTGCTACTCTGTAAACAAATTCCAACCCTTTCTACGCCATTTCCAGTGACCTGGCACACTGTCGTTTTACATTCTATCTTATTATTGAATTCTCATTAGCGACGTCCATTTCGACGAACGCGAGGAGGACGAAACAACGAAAACTAACCTGCATATGGCACTTTGACTGTATGCGGGCCCTTCGGTGACACTGAGGGCCTGCCCGACCTGAGTCTGTGTCAGACCCAGAGACAGTCTGCGTAGCTTGAAGACCTTCGCGAACTCCTTGATCTCGTCCAAATTGATCCCATCAACCACGTTATTAGTGGCCTCATTGATCGTTGGCTGGTCTGTAATGAAAATACATACAACGCTCTACTCCCATTTTTCTGATAAATAAAAAATTATGCTATAAAATTTACGCAATTTACTGCTATTTTTAGCAAAGAATTTTTAATAAAGAAAGTTAAGTCTAATTATTTAATATGTTGAATCAATTCTAAATAAATTAAACAAAAGATTTGAATTATTATATTGTTAGTTCATTATTTTCAATATTCTTTTAATAGTCTTATTAGGGATTTTTATTTTTTTACAAGAGCCATTATATTTAAACGAATTCTTGATTCTATAAATCATAAGTTTCTTACGGATACAATATCGAGCCAATCGTGAACGAGATGAAATATTCGTGGTTCAAGGGTTAATGCGATAAACATTCTTGCGTCACGCGTATGATCGGTTTTATGATTCTAATGGTGCATTTTTAGCACAACCCAGGGATTCATTGCCAATCATTCGAGCGCACATTTCAATCGATTCATCGGAACACACCGAAGCTTTTGCTTCGAGAAGGCTAATGACAGGCCCCTTCGTTAAAGTAGCTCGAGTTACAACGATTTCTCTCGTAAATCTGTCATCCCGAATATATACGCATGCAATAGAAATATCTACATATTCTCTCTTTCTTTCTCTCTTTCTCTGTAATCTTGACTAGTCCGCCTGGTTTCCGCGCAATAACCTGCAAATCCTTCTTTTACGATAATATTTCTATGATCATTAATTTTCGATCGAAACCCCAAGTACTTTGTGCATTTCAAACACAAAGTGCGAGTACATTAGACTCGGCTATGACTCAATAAAAGATTTGTCATTTAATATAATCAACTTAAATTTAGAAGAGCTCTATATCTTTGGTCATATGATCACGCTTATTGATTAATTTTTTTCAAGTTTTAAATTAAATTAATTCAAGTTTTAAATTAATTATTTAAAATAATTTAATAAGCTGCAAAAAATAATTTAATAAATTGTAAGTTGCATTGAATTAAATTTGAAATAGATACAAGATTTTTATAAAAGGTCAACAACTTATATATTTATATACATATAAAACTTGAAATATATTAACTATACAACAATTATACAATAGAAATAATATAAGATAATTATTCTTTGCATAATTGTGACTTTGCATCCTGTTCTCTATACAAATCATTGAAATTCTATCGGAGAATGGTTAACAAAGGCAAATATTTATGAAATAATGCTCCCATCTAACACTAGCAATTGAGAATCGTTAGCTTCACGAGTTGAATGATTATTCCACCGCGTCAGAATGACGAAGTGCCAGTCTACGATGATTGTAAGTTATTAAAATTATTGTCAGCCAACACGAGGTTACGCGCGCTGCTGGAATCTTTATGGCTTCCTAGAAGGCAGTGAGGAACGAACTAATGCCCCGTAATGAGCCCAGTGCTACACAATATCCTATTACAGTTATCAAACAATCGATGATCGTTCGAAATATTATTATTCGCAGCTATAAATACGCATTTAATTATTAAATCGCTTCTTCCGCGACGGCAGTAATGCTTCACTGTATTGTTGGAGAGAAGCATCCGAGTAAAGTCGATATTGAAAAATCAAATATGTGCGCTTTAATTATCAGAAATATAAAGTTTGTACACAATCACGCGCAACTGCGATTAACATCCTGTCAAAGATATCCGTTGGAATGTGACAACTTGGACAAGATAAAGATAAGGAGCGCGTTTGCATGTGGTAATTGCTTCTTTAAGAGAGATTATGCATGCAATTACTTGTCGACATTAGCGACTGTGCTTCTCATATAAGCAAGATGATTGCGATATAGGAAGATGATGTCCCCTGCAAAAGTTGTAATTAAAAGCTGTCAAGGAATAACAACGTGGTTACCCTCGGGGCCTCGATTATCATTTTCGCGCGCATGCTGATGTGTCATTTTAAACGCACTGCCAAGTAAACCGCACAGATCATTTCGACTTTCGACCCCCGTCGATTAATAGTTATTGCAATGAAGAAAAATAAGCTATATCTTACTCGGTGAATCGTTCAGAAGATCATCCTCCTCTTCCTTCGGGCTATGCATATTGCTCGGGGAAGCCTTTACTCCAACACCGCCTGGTCCATGCGTTGTCGTAATAGTAATCTCGCCGTTGCTGGCGGCCAATCTATTCAAAGCGGATGCGGCGGACACGACAGATTCGTTCAAAGGCGATGACTGCTCCGGTCGTTCCCTGTGATGTTTTTCCGTTGGCTGTGAACAACACAGTAGCGGGACAGATTAGCAGGGAATCTACTATAGGGATATGACAATACTCCTCTTCCGCGCCAATTATGTACTTAATAATGAGACGGAACCGCTCGGGACACTTTAGAGTTTAATTAGTGGAAGGAATGGCAGTACTGACGGAATACTTTCTTAACAAGATCGCTCGGTATCGGGAATTATTCAGGTTGCTCTGCTGATCCCGCCGCGCTTTTCTTCATATCGTGGAAACTACGATATAATCACATATTCGTCGCGTGATTCGATAAAAATCGATTTACATTCTTAAAAAAATTCGAAAATAGAAGCCAACAAAAGTACCTTTTTTAATTATAACATGTTTTTCGTGAACAATTATAGATAAAATTAAGAGAAAATGAATAATAGACTTAAAATCCTAATAAGTAATGATACATATATTAATTTTATTGCGTTTAATATGGCATGAAAAATTATATTTTATATTCATACGAGAATAGTTATCTAATTATATAAAGTACACATAATTATTTTAATTAAATTCAAAAAATGATTACAAGGAAATATATTAAACGTTATATAATTTCAACAATGTAGAATAATATAGAATTTTTAAAATATTTATTTCGCTCTTTTTAAACTCTTCTTGTAACATCGCGAATAAATTTATATTAATTGCTTACTATTTTCAAAAAAGCATGAGCTTTTGTGATAGGGACTCGTCATACATACTGTATAATGATTCATATGTGAGGTGTGTCGGTGGCTATGCTGTTGAGGCGATGTCGTTAAAAGTGGTTGCTGAGAAGCCTGAACGGCCTGTACAGCTTGCGCCGCTTGTGCTTGTGCCGCTTGGGCAGCCTGAAGCAGTTGCTGAGGCTGCATCGCGTTCAGAAGTTGTTGGCTCGCCGAGCTATTGCTCAGAAGATGCGGCAAAGCAGCAGGGTTCAGTCCTAATCCCGACGCCAGGCTGGGGCTCGTGGGAACTGATAAAAGGACAAGCAAATGCGCACATAGTACGATATACCGATGCTATGTAAATCACAGAATAGGCACAACAAGCCATAATACATATATCTCAAGATATCTAGATGTTTTGATGAGATTACAAGAGAGGTTGTTGTTTATATTATAAATTATTATAATTTAAGGAAAATAATTTATAAGAAAAAATATCGAAAGAGAGAAATTTAAAGAGACAAAAATAATAGATGTCCAATTTTAAATATCCTTATAAGATATCATTAAATTCGTGGCGGATATTTAAAAAATTATTTATGTAATGTGTGAAAATATATTGTTATTTAATTTTATATTGTACACAATTATTAATTTAAGAAAATTATTAATAAACAAAGAGAATAATATATTTCAATTTTTCTAGTAAATATATACGTGATATTTTAATAAGCACTTTAATGTAAAAAAATATATTTAGCGAAGTTTATGGCTTTGCCTAAAAAGAAACAAATATTGCGCCATATTGCTACGCTAAAGAAAATTAATTGCGTGTATTATGTCTCGTAATTTTACATCGATAAGAAAATCTTCTAAACATATTAGCACTAAACTTACCGTTGCTCGTAGGCGTGTTAAGCATGTTTTGCGGTTGAGCTAGAGACTGAAGGTTCGCCAGTGTCGTAGAAACTACTTGTCCATTACTGAGCGCCAAGTTTACCATTTGATTGTTCGTGACGTGGCTAACCGGTATGGTCAAGATAGTTTGCGTAGCGATTCCTGAGGAATACGAAACATTTTTCAAAATGACACGTCGTTCTTGACCGAATTACGAGTGAGAAGGGATAATTAATTTATGATATCCCTTGAAAGCGCTATCTCGTATAATCGTATCTCGAATCAATAGATACTTCATTTTCATTATGAACATAGTCCACGCGTCGTTGATCCAGGATGGGTGGTAAAGTTATCAGAGTCTCATAGAGGGATTATTAGGCAACCCATAGGGCAGGTAACCTCGCAGGCTAGCGTAGTTGGCAAACTATTATCGTCATCTTAATAGTGGGTACAGGTACTGGTACTGGACTGCGCTGCGAGAAGGACGCCTAATCATACTTAGAATAGTTTCGGGATTACCTCCAGCTCCGCTAATCTGATTACCCTGTACACGCGCTTAATATGATTACTGATCATGAGTACGTACCCGTGTTGCCACCTACAGCTAAGCTAAGCAAATCCCGTATTCCGAACAGCCATAAAAGTTTCACGTTCTGAGGTAAGGTCAACCGACAATCCGATTAATGTATAGTTCAAACGTTGCCGAACGATAACGCGCCGTTAATACATCGTTAATAATGCGCTGTCGACTCACATCTGACAAATTCGCTACAGTTTCAAAAATATTTTATTTATCCTATTCGCGATAACAATATTAATTGAATTCGTGTCTCATTACTAAAAGAAGAATTTTTTCTGAACTATTTTAGAAGTATCGAGAATCTTGTTATATCTAATTTATATTTGGCGGAAAGAAAGAATTGGAGGATGTTATTTTTACTCTTAATAATTAGGACGTGCATGACCTCTCAGGTATTTTAATCCTAGCCGCTTTTCGGATCTTAATTGTTCCCGCGCGACGCGAATAAAATCTCGGGCGGCTGATATCACTTTAAATAAAGCCACGGACATTCCTGTACGGACAATAATTTCTATGAACGACAACTATTGACCGCACTCTCGAGCACTCCTCGATTCATCCTCGCCGATACTCGATGTCTATCAGAGACCAATCGAGCGTTAGTCAGTTACCATCGATTGAGCCGAAAAGCAGTGCAAACATTATTTGCCGTCACGTAACTCGTCATCCTACCGCGGCCGGTCCATATCCACGAACTTCAATCCACTTAGGCGGAATCCCAAAGTTCTCCTTCTGCCTCTCGTTCCCTACCTGTTCCGTACGCTCGATCTCCATCTCTTTCTCTCTTCTCTCCCCTTTCTCTCTCTTTCTCTTTCTCTCTATCTTTCTCTTTCTCTCTCAATTGCCAGAATAGGAACTCAACTTGGTAGAAACGAAGTTAGCGCGGACCGCAATCGATATAATAGCGGCCGAATCCGCGGAGCTGCGATGTCCAGTGAGTGCTAGGGTTAGAAGCAGGGAGAGGGCGAAAGAGGGAGAGAGGGAGAGAGGAGAGAAGGACGAACCCGAGAAAGGAGGTAAAACGGGGTGGGATCCGTAGGGTTGGAGAGGGGTAGTGAGACGTTAATTATACATTGAAATTAGTTGCAGAGTTTGCCCTGTGCTCGCCGAGGCAGTCTAGGGCCACTAAGTATGGACGACGAGCCGGCCTTAGTCCGAGCTGGTCAGAGATAGTCGATATTATATTATATATCGGCACATCTTGATTGCACAACATTATGCGCTGGCACATCGTCGGGTTACTATGTGTTTCACACAGCGGACGCGCTGTGAAATCATCGGATTTTACGCAGATTTTGCGTGTAAATTATCGATGAAATTTTGAATAATTGAAATCATTACAATTATTTAAATTTTGCTCGAGACGGCGTCATCAAGGTCAATATTACGATGATGTAATGACAAGAGGAAAAGTCAATTATATATTCGGGAAATGTTGAAATTGTACGTGCTAACAAAGCTTACCTTGCGAAGTGGGGATAAGAAGCTGAGCCCCTTGAATGCCCTGAACCAATTGACCGGACGTTAGGATGAATTGAGGCATCGCAACCGGTTGCGGTTGAGATAATAGCTGAGGTAACGTCGCCATTGGAGCTGAGCTAGGTGGCAGAAGGTGGGAACCCGCCGTCGTACTCGAAGCTGTTGGTACCGTTCCACCTGGGAATGAAAATTAACAATTTCACTGCGTTAGATTACCTTTGTCATTTAATTCTCGCGCAATCCTCGATTCTGCAGTAAAGTCTTACGACTTTAACCGCGCGAGCTTCTATATCCATTTAAATTTCTACATAAGAAACTAAATTAATTTATATTTCCGCCATCTCTTACCTGACGAACTGACAGTCAGATTCAAGGGAGTATTAATTAATTGATTATTAGTTAATCCCGTCATCCCTTGAAGACCAGCGGCCAGTGACGCAACTTGTGGAAGATTTTGCAAATTCGCTAAGTTCTGGAGATTCTGAAGTGTCACCATGCCAGCCACTACGCATAAAATTTCGAAATAAAATGTCGATATGTAGTAATGTCGATATCGAGAAAAAAAATCTATATTTTGAGACATTTTGAGACATGAAGAAGAGACATCTTGTACTTACTCGTTCCGTTTAGATGAGCTTGTGCAACCGCCGCACGTTTCGCTTGATGGAGATTTTCAGGTGATGGACTCCGTCGTCTCTTTCGTGAATTCTTCATGTCGTCTATCATCATTTGATGTTCGTGAAGTGCACCACCACCTGTCGCTGGTTCGGGACTTCCAGTGCTACTCCTATCGCTATCCTGTAACAGACATACATATTCATAAATATAATTACAAATCAGATTGAAACTGGGTCACTTTCAAACTATAAGATATAAGCAAAATTAATAAAAAAATGCTTCTAAATTGAATTATGCTAATATATAATGCTAATTAATTAACAATATAATGCTAATTAATTAACAATAATATTCATTAATTAATATATATTAATATACAAATTATTTTCCTAAAGGATTACATACCATCTTGACCGTTTTCAAAATGGAATGGATCATATTTTCCCTCGTGAAAATCAATCAAACAGCTAATAAGGTTTTTACATGAGCTAACAATTTTTATTGTGGCAGTTTAATGCGAAAAACAGATTAATAATTATTTACAATTTATATAAAGGTGATATTTATTAAAATATATTATTTTAATTTGACAAAAGTGAGAAGAAGCAATGACAGAAAGTAAAATATATATATATATATATAAAAGTAGATTAGCGAAAATAATTAGCGCAATACGCAAACCAATGAGGCTTATGATACTTCGATGATCATTGTCGAATATCAATTTTCACTTACGCACAGCAATGAAAATTGAGTTCGTCTGTGTTATCTCCTGGTCCTTGCCCATAAACATAATCCAGTAACGCGTGCAAAGTGATTTAGTTATTCACGCTCAATAACACATTTTTGGAATTAACTTGGTCATCGAACCAACCGCCCGATTTAATCAATACCAATTTGATGCAGCCGCGCGTGACATACGTTATTGTAACTTCCAAAAATCTTTCAACGGCAAACAACTGCGAACAGTTATACGCAAAGGCGAGAATTACTTGAGCAAAAAAATATATTAATCACGTGTTTTCTCGTCGCTTTCTGCTTTCGCGTGCCTGCAGATATATAATTCATGCATATTTACAGAATACCGGCGGAATAATTAACGAACTCCCGGCACATTAAGGCGTGCCGTGTATTCGTATGTGTGCACGTATAGCCGAGGTTCTTAGAAGACAATCTAAATTATAATAAATCGATGGAGTATATATGCCGTAATGCTTTACCACCACGAGTGTATGTCGATGGTGTTGGTGGTGGCTGTGCCGCGGAGAGTAATGTTACCGGTGCGGCCTCTTTGCATAATGGTATGGAAATATGCCGGAACGTGTATCGCCATAGTTGGATACAGATTAAGCGTTTTAGAGCTTCGACACTCGAGTAATTCGGGAAAAAGAGTTTCCGCGGATAACTGGATCCATGAATAAATCCTGAGTAAGCTTCTTCGGTGACTATCACCTTTTACATTAGACGTGTGACTAGTCTAATTACACATGTTGATGTGAATTTTCGAGACGAACGCGTATAAAGAATATTTTAAGATGAGTTTAAGACGATGCAATAAACTCGAATCTTGCATCGGGAAGTGTAAATCATCCCTTTCATTGTCTTTTCTTCGAAGAATAGAGCGTAAAATTGACGTGAGAATAATTGAGAATGGATAAAACACGCAAATATTGTATTAATTGCATACTGTCAAACAATCTCATTACATTCAGCTCGATTCAAAAAAAAGATATCCTCTGGGTGCGGCTTGTAATCCCGGCTTGAATTTTCGTCAAAGTCGCACAATGGGCCGCGCGCGTCGCTGGTCGAGGCATTTCATTGCATAAAAAATAGATAAAGCCTGGTCGATAGGTAACGAACGAAAATAGGAGGCGCGGCAGTTCAATTTTTTTTCCACGCAAATTCGTAAACGGCTATACCACCAGTATAGCCACCCTATATTAAATGGACGAGGCGAGGGGGATTAGTTGAATGCACAAGCTCGACCATTTTGCTTGTAAAAGTGCGCACGATATACAACCAGCCGTAGAAACATATGTTTACGAGTTTTCGATATTTCACATAAATTAATCAGTGCCGCAACATCGCGACGCATAAAACGGCGGCTTTTGTATGAGATCATTGACTTTCCCCCCAATTGAATGAGAGGTTCTTTGCTTGTAAAAATAAATATTTATATGTTTTATTATACCCCTACAAACAAAGCTTATATAATTAATGCGCGTTTTAATTCAGATATAAATCAGTTTCTTAATCATAGGCAACTCTCGGATTTCAAAAGATTTTCTATTTTTATACATTTCTATGGTTTTTCATACCATCTATAAATATACATAATTACAAAGTAATAAACTTGGTATATCAATAATTCTATATGTCGCGGAAATAAGTTATAATTAGCGTTTGGTTCCTCGATTCGCGCCTCGGGACATTCAACGAATCGACTTACTCAATCAAGTCGCACGAAAGGAACGGTCGAGTCGCCCACGCTGTTGATCTCGCGGACCTTTAAAATTCTCTAGGAGAAATCGGTCGCGCGATCGATAAAAAATCCCGCGTCCATAGACCATCTCGCTAATGCGAAAAAGCGGGCTGGACCCCTCTCGCTCCCACGATCGGGTGAACGACCAGTGTGTGGAAGGCACGAAAAAAATACATGATCAGAGAGAGAGAGAGAGAGGGAAAAAGAGGGCGAACGAGCGTTCGTTCGGTTGGTCGTTGGAAATGCAACAATAAACATTACTTATCGGCGCGGGGGTCTCTAACAATACGTATACGAAGAGAAGCGGCGCGGCTGCCGGTAGCAAAGCGCAAGTTTTTTGCAATAAAGTCATTTCGAGCCGTTTGAGTTATGGGTAATTCCTGCGGAGCGCCCGGACCTGTGCGCTCTAGCTAGCTGGTCCGAGTCCGGTCCATTGATTAGTATTAATGACTTAGCTGCACTCATTTCGCCCGAATAAAAGTAATTGGATTTGGCTTCGACCCCGCGCTGTAGTTTGGCGTCGACGGCGGCGTCGGGCGGCGTCGACGGCGGCCGGCGTCGGCGGTGGCGACGGCAGTGGCTGGCAGAACAAAACTCGTGGGCGCGTGTAAAAATACATTAATATCTGTTTGCGCTTAATAAACGATAGCCGCGCTGACTTCAGACTAATGGCCGTATTCCGGAATCGGTAATACGCATTTTTATGTTTCTCTTTCTGATACGCGGCGCCGCATCGCGCCGCGCCGCACCGTGCTGGTTCCATCCCATCTTTGGTTGCGGCCGTTTCTGCCCTGGCGAACGATTTGTCGAGCAGGGCACCGTTAGCAGTTATGAAAATTGAACGATTTTTTTGGCAGGAGAAGGCTACATACGAACGCGAATTTTATTATGCGCGCGAGCTTCGGTCGAATGCAAGAAGTACGCGAGAAATATTTAGGTATTTTTTACAAATTTTTGCGAAAATTAATTTTTTATATTATATACTAAACTAATACATTAGTTAAGATATCAATGAAAAATATTGATGCATGTGTTTACCGAATTAAAGATGATAATTTTTAAAAAAGAGGATAATTTTTCTATAAATATATAATATATATAGTTAAGCATTAATATGTTTAAAGTCCAACGTATTTCAGTAATTAGATTTGACTTGATTTGAATCTCGTAGATATTTTGGAGTGTCTAAATTATTTATGGAATAATGGAATTCTATCAAATATAGCTTGCAATAAATATTGTTTATAAATACATTTGAGTATTACAAAACTAATTGATTTAATTTTCGCAAATTTTATTCGTATTCGTATTTGTATATCACTAATTATACGCGATCAATCGAGATCAATAGTTATTAATTGGAATTATTTGACACGTGAGAAAAATATATAAAAAGATCAGAGAGAATGATGAATTTCCGTCACGATTAAAGATTTTAACGAATCTTGTGGGGAAGTCGCAATTATCACCGTGGTCATTGCGAAAGGGTGTTATCGGGAATGGAAACCCAGAGAGGCAGTTGCAGAAGACCTGCTCTCTATACGAAAAGGACAAGAACGGAGACAACTAGAAAGGTAGACAGAGAGACTGTTTGACAGAGAGAGAATCGTGGAGACAGTCGGGAGAAGAAAGGAAAGGAGAAAGAAAGAGAGGAAGAGGGAGAGAGAGGGAAGAAGTAAGAGATAGAATCCGCTCGACCCTCGGTTCAGGCCGCTTTGTCTGTAAGTGTAATTAGTCCAGGGTGGGGTTCCTGGGGAGTCGAGGCTCGGGGGTATAAGGGAGGGCAAAAGAAGGGGGTGCAGTGGAGCAACGGCGTGGTTCATCCTGGCTTCCCTCGCCCCATCGCCGTGCCCCACCACCGCCTTATTTATATGCAAATGAGCTTCATTTCGCGATATTAATGTTCCACCCGAGTCGGCCTGCCTCGGCGCGAAGGGGTGCGAGGATACGCGGAAAAGGGTTCGTCCTCGTATATGTTTACGACCATTTCGCCCGCATGGACAGCAGCCGAGTCAAAATGTCAAAAATTGTGGCGACCTCAACACGCGGTCAAATAGATAATTTTGTCTTTTAGTAAATGCATGAAGTTATAAAAATGAAGAACGTCTTAATTGCAAGTTGACAGATTTTGAAGAAAGAAATATACTTGTGTCGTTGCGCTTAATTCTAATAAATTGAGAGCAATGTTATGATGTCGCAAGAAATTCGCGATTGTCTTTTTTATGCGTATCTTTTGCGTTTAATCATCATCATTAATGCTCAATCTTTACAAGCGAATTAAAAATTTCCAATAGTACGCGTTGTAGGCTCAAATCGTGGAGCTTATATAGCGCGCAGATAGTATAGATAATGACCGATTTATCGTAACGAGTGGAGCGTGGCAACGGGTAGAGACAGACCCCCATCAAGGCCCCACCGGGGTAAATTAACAACAGACAAGCCACTTGAAACATTACCGAGGCTTCCTAGCAAAGCAAGCCGGGGGTGGGCTCGCGCTGTTGCCTTACTCAACATAAATTAGGGCCGATAGAAAGGGTAGATTGCAGAATGTTGAGTGTATAACGACCGGCGCCGCGTTCTGCTGGTAACGGTGTCTCGAGCATCCGCGCGTCGCGTCTTACTCTTGCAGCACACGCGAGCCCGAAAAATCTTGCACGCCACGTAATACCCGCCCATGACTAAGAAAATTCGAGCTCTT